TTCATGTTTACTGTGTTAGCCGTGTTAGTCCGGCTAACACGGTTACAGGTATGCTCTGTCACTCTGCTGTATTTTTTCAGGTGTTTCTGCCTTCATGTTTTTCTTTTTCTTCTGAATAGCTGTTCTAATATCTGTCTGTGTGTGATGCGTATTTAACAATATGTCACCTTATTATTTATTGCTATTAGCGTTGTTTTTTTTCTTTTATTTTGAAAATTGTGCACCGTAACGCATAATACATTTTAATTGCGCGTTTATATTTACAGCTGATGTAATGCCGTATTTCATGCCACGCCAAATTGCACGAGTATTCCGCATCAACAAAACGATCACTTCTACTCTTAACAATCGGAGAGATTTAAATCGATTTCCAGTGAAACGTGTTCAAAGGGCCGTCTCATTTACATTCTCCGTCTACATGGAGTTCTGGTCTGGCTTTTGCTGCAATGTTTCCACACGTGGAAAGTATGAACACGTTTCTTTCGCACTTACGCCCATTAGCTTGCCATACGCTTACAACAAGGCCATTCTGGATGAACGGATTTTGAAAAACACGGACTGCAATAAATGTTAAAATTCCTTTCTAATATAAATGGGCCAAATATAAATAACCCAACATGGATTGCCATTTTGAATTTAACTAGAAGTAAATAGAAGTGTATCAAGTGTACATACACCAGAGAGAAAAAGAAATAGAACAGAACTTGAGGTCCTTAATACGACAGACATTTTGTGCTGTGTTTTATACGTGAAGTTTTATATAATCGTTGTCTCACTTTAACAACTAATGTACATTTCATGAATACACGCAGAGAAATCTCTTCCGTATGTGACACGCCGCGCAGCCGTGTTTTAGGCGCTTCGTGTTTACATAACGTATTTCCTTTGAAAACGAGTTTGGTTATAAAATCCATCTAACTTCGTTACAGGAATATGAGATTTTTTTATTGTATTGAATCTCCCTTTCTGTCCTGACAGTGCCTCAGAATTTTACCTTTGTTTCTACTGTTTACTGTGAAACTTACGAAGTCTGTGATTATGAAAGATGGTGAGGAAACTGTCGTACCCAGTGAAGGACGTCTATCCTAGCAGTCGTCAGGCAGATTCGAGTAGCCACCAAGAGGGCCTTCCGAATGCAATACTTGGCTGAGATAACACATCCGGTTGCACAAAATGAAATCTAATCAAATCGAAATCTGTAACCGGATTTCACAAAGAGAATTAAATTTTCGCGTGCTTTAAGTGGGTGTGTTCTATGACGTGAATAATCCTACTGCTCGAACAGGGATTTCAAAGAAACGAGGCGGGGCTGTGTAGCACTGTGTACGGGCGCTTTGGAGCGGGATTCCGTTGCTCTAAAGACAGCAGATTTTTACTTTTTCTTCTTCCTCTTTTTTTTACCGTCTGCTGACAGGGCATCCCCAGCAGTAAGTTTGCACACGCCGACCTCCGGAACACAAGGTCACCTAGGAACAATGTCTAACTTGGGGATTATTCAGTTGAGCAGATTCCTTCTGGAGAAGCAAACAGTCGTTGGGACGATGAACAGACATCCCGCTTCCTATTGCATGCTCCGGTCTGGCTAGTAGCGTGCCGCCAGACCACCAAAACAGGAGTAACATAAAATAACAACATAATATTGCATTTTCACACCACCTGACTTCTAGATCATGATTCATGCATTCGGTTCTGAACCACTTCAGCCGAATCTACACCTTCACGTACTATTTCATGAAAATCAGCTCTAATATCAGTCTATCATCCAATCTATAGGCAATACTATCTTCCGACGGTCTTTCTATTTCTCTTCAGATTTTCAGTCTGATAAAAACACATGCAACGTTTCGGCTACTGGACTGTCTCCGTCATAAGGGAAGGTAAGAGAGGAGGATTCCTCCTGGAGTGATGGAGACTAGCTCTGTCTAAGGGACCCACCAGCATAGACACCCTTCTCTCACACCCTCACACAAAAACGGAAACAGATCCTATCGCTGAAATGTTGTGTGTTTTAGCAGATAATCAAGACGATTGACAATGTCCCAAACAACAGTCGAACTATGTTTTTGTTTTTTTTTGCCAGTTAATAACATAGTATACCTTTGTGTCCGATGCGAAGTCGCTGTCGAGTGGTTAGCACTCTGCTTCGTATTCGGGAGGTTCCTATCAAATCTCGACCCGGAGATACGCTATCCTGACTGGGGAGACTTTTGTGATTTTCCTCAGTTCCTCGATGGAAATACGGGGGCAGTACCTTACAAGGGGTATCGAACACCGGCCACCCAGTCCGTTGCCATTCACATCACTGGCAGAAATAATTCCGATGCTATGTCCATAACTCTATCTCAGTCAACATAATATTCATTAGCGACCTGCGGCTGTTTAGATGCGACTGCCTCATTATATGCACTGGCAGACATTTGACGGTAATGAGGATGAATTATGCATGTAAGATCTCGCCAAGCATTTCCTGCTACTACGGGCGCTGGGATCCAACAGGTGGCGAAACAGGGCTGTCCAATCTCTTCAGCGAATACCGTCACATCTTTTATATTTAAATTACCGAAAAGTAATATTAATGGTTATTATATATCGGGGGGTTTTACGGTTTGAAAAATGACCAGTGCGTTAGATGGCATAAACATTTTCCATGGTTTTCTTCAGTATTATAATCATAATGAATTTGACGGTATACAGCCTCTATAGTTCATGTGATGTTGAATAACTGGTCAACATAATATGACTGTTGTGGTATGTTGCGCCGTGTAGCCACGTGTAAACTGGCTATCGCTCCAGAGGTGCTTCTTATTGCCTGTCGGCTGTGAAAATCGGCAGAATTGGTATAAAAATGTTGACGTACAGAATGACAGATATAACTTACTTTACCTGTACATAAATTTCTCCATTTTTGAGAAATTAATTTTAAAATATTACAGTAAATTTGGAGTAGGCAAAATCAAAATTACAATAGATTAACACAGAATGTGATTAATTCGTCTCAGAAAGAAACATATGATTATTGCTTTCTATATTTTCCTATTTTATAATTTGCCACCAAAAAAGGCCTTAAAACGCCGATCCTTCAACACATGCGGGATGAAATATAGATAAACCCACTCAAAATATTCTTGCATTCGAGTGTTTGTATTCGATGAACATTTAATTGCACGTTTCATATAGATTCGTGAATATTACATGTTTTATTCTGAAGGTGAACGGACATATACACCCAAAGACGTGATATCACAAAGCCTTCCGTTCGTACGGCAAAAGGAAAGCAAACGTAACACAGACGCAGGAAATGTGGCTTACCAGTATCTACTAGATGCTTTATCAACGGGCGGACGGTCGAGTCCTTGCTTACCGGCGCCTGCTCAATACTTTAATGTATATAAATACACAATTCTTATCATACGAAAGTTTTTAATTTGCCATGGACCGCCTAGACAATGTTTTACATTTCACCAACAAGCGTATTTCACAATTATTTTCATAGTTCAGTACCGCATCACAACATCCCCAAAACACACAAAGCTAATCCTGTGCTTAATTAAACATCACACCCACAAGCCGTATGGGGGTGTGGAGATACAGTTGCATGGCCTTGTTACTACATAGAGCCATCCTCAGATGCGAATTAGTTATTTTATTCCAAAATAGAAGCAGATCTCCTTGCGTCA